GAGGTGCGGGCCGGGGCGACGCAGGGTGGGGGTCCCGGAGCCGTGCTAGGGCCACCGCCTGCACAGGCTGGAGCGCGAAGCGCGGGCCCTGGGCGCACCGGGGGTGGACCGCTCTCGACCCTTCTGCTGGGAAGGGCGCGGTCTGCGGGCGGGCCTCTGGCCGAGGACCGCTGGGGTGCAGCTGCGGGAGGCCGCGCTGGGTCCGCCTGGGGAAGGCACGGAGGCCTCCTGGAGGACACGTGCAGATGAGGGTGGGAGGGTGTCCGGCACCTCGCGGTGTGAGTGCGCGATCCAGGGCCGGGAACTTGTGCCCAGCCCGGCAGGCCTCGGTGAGACGCTCAGGGGTGTGTGGCTCGGGGAGCTGAGGGTGGTGTGGATGAACAAGCCAAGGAGGCAGAGGTTCGGCGATGAGGAGCCACAATGCTGTGATGACCGACTTTAGGAGTCATCTAAAGTTTGGGGCCCGAGAGTGGCAGCCAGAGCCCCATACCTGTGGCCCTGGGCCTGCCAGCACCTAGGGCTGGGCCGGGGCTGGGCCAGGGCTGCGGAGTCACAGAATTAAAACGAACTTTGGCTCCCCCTGTGTGCCAGGTCTACGCTGACCTCGCCACACCTCCGAGCCCCCCAGCTGTGAGAAATAAGTTGTCACCCCCAGTAGACAGTTAAGAAAACTGATGCTCCAGAACAGGAAGTGAGTCTCTCCCAAGGTGTGTCAGACTTTAGAACTGACCGCTTGCTTTCAGCCACTGCCTCGGGGAGAAGAGGAGCCCCATGAGTTTGTGTGGCTTTATGTTTCCTCATTCGATTGGAGCCTGGCTCACCTTCATTTTACAGATTAAAGGAAACAGGGTGAGAGGTGGAAAAGGAATGTGAGGAAAAATGAAAAGGTCTTAAGTGCGTCTCCAATCGCTCCCTTTCTGCGGGCAGAGCTGCATCCTGCTCGCCAGCTGCTCTAGCCTGGACCGCCAAAGGGTCTCCCGACAGGTCCCAGCTGAGGGGTGGGCCCTAGTTTTGGGTGGTTTGCCCAGGTGCCGAAGCCAGAACACGTTCACGGGCCAGCCGCCTTCTCTTTTGCTGGAACCAGCCTCCTCTTCAGGGGGCTGCCTCCTGGGGCCGAGACAGAGGAAGCAGTGCAGGTGATCAGGTGGGGACTCCAGAGCCAGGAAGGGGGTGTCCCCTGGGTCTGGCTGCTGGACAGACCCCTCTCACTCAGCCAGTTTATCTGTAAAATCTGGGTGGGCCAGGTGCCTCCTTTCTCAGAACACAGGTAGTTGCTATGAAAAAGATACACTGTCAGGGGCAGGCAGACAGTAGTAACCTAGCTTTTGTAACAGTGAATTTCCTTCCCCCAGTGACTTGCCTTGTCTTCCGCCAGCATTTCCTGAGCACTTGCCCTGGTTCCAGGCCTGTGCTGGGGTGGGAGGGGACCCCAGCCATTTGTTAGGGTGGATAAACAGGGCCCCCCTGTGCTGGGTGAAGGGAGCACGACGTGGGAAGGCCTGGCTCCAGCCAGCCAGCCAGCCAGCCAGCCAGCCTCCGAGGGTGAAAATCCTATGACACTGGGGCAAGTCACTCACCCCACTGAGCCTCCATCTGGAGAACGTGGACTATGGAAGGCGGCCCCAGCTCCCACTATCTTGGCGGGGATGGGGTAGGGAGGCATGAGATAAGTTTCGGCCAATGCCTAGCACGTAGTGGGCAGTCCTCAGACTGTAGTGTCCCCCTGCCCTGTTTGCCATTGCTCTGCTAAGGGGCAGCCAGTGTTTTTCCATGACCCTCCCCTGCCATTATGGGTTATGGGAAGAGCTGTGAGTCATCACGTTGCCAGACCCAAACCTGCAGCCATTGTTCCGAGTGAAACCAGCTATTGCTGCTGCTGCGGGCCCAGGTGTAGGGGAGGGCACACGCCAGCAGGACGGGCACCTGCACCATTGGCAAGGCCCATGATGCTGGTTCCTTGTCTGGAAAAATCGGTTCCTTTGGAAAGGATGGGGGAAGCGTTTTAAAATTTCAACTCTTCCTGTCCGCATGCACTTCCCAGCCAGGGAGATGCCGGACCTCAGGCAGGCCCTCTGTCTCCCTCCCTCCCGTCAGGTTTGGGGACTGAGAGCTGGAGGTTTGGGGTTCTGGGTTGGAGCCCTGGCTGTGAATTCCAGCCCTCTGAGCCGCTTTCCTAATATGTAACTGGGAGGTGGGGCAGTGTGCCCCCCACCCCAACCCCCGGGCTCTCTGAGGGTTAAAGGAGAACCCAGAAAGAGCCCAAGGCTGGTCTCATCCCACAGCCCGCTCTGCCCCGCGCACTGGCTCTGCAGCTCCCTGCCCGGAGCCCTTCCACCCGCACCCCGAGTTCTCCCTCTTCCCCTGGCGCTCACCTCTGAAGTTTCCAAAATCTTCCCGCCCTCCAGGTTCAGCCCCATTTACCTGGTCCTCTCTTCGCCCCCCAGGGCAAGATCATGAGTGACTCATCCTCAAGGCCCCAGCACAGGAGCTGCTTGTGCCTGGCTGGCCAGCTGCGTTGGGATGAGTTTTCCTTCTGTTTTTAGTAGAGATGTAAGAAATAGGTATTTTGAGGGGGTGGGAAACTGGCCTTTGTTGAGTCCCTGCTGTGTGCCAGGGACTTGCTCCTGGAGGGTGGGTGACACCTCCTTCCTAGGTGACAGACCAGCCTCAGCCACCGTGGTGCTGGATTGGTTCCTCTGATTATAGCAAAATTAAGGTATAGTCCCTGGCCCCCAAGACCTGACTTCCATTTACTTCCAGTGTGACCGGAGCCACCCCCTCTGCCTCTGAGGCCTCATTTTCCCTGTAAAACAAGGGACCAGACTAGATATAATTTGGACACGTACATGCAGGCCCACTTCCACGCACGGGCCCCGTGGGGCGAGGGGCCTTGGACGATAGCCCCAGTGATGATGGTGCCCTAGTTCTGACCGGTTTCACCAGGAGCCTGTTTTCCCACCTGCGACATGGGTCCCTGGGCAGTAAACAGGCCCCACTTCTCCAAAGGGATGTAGTTGGACCTGGAGGCCAGGCGTGGAATTCCAGGGCATCCGCCGACACGCCCTGCTGTGGCCCCCAGGTTTTCGACGCGGGGGAGATGTTCGGGATAATGCAGGTGGAAGAAGCCGAGGAGGAGGGCGAGGAGGAGGCAGCGCGAGAAGCACGGGAGAAGCCGCCCAACCCGGGCGTCGAGCTCTGCTACAAGGTCATCGTGACCAACGAGGACGGGCTCCAGGCGGCCGACCCCAACAGGTAGGAGCCCAGCGGGACATCCGTCACTCACAGCGCGGCTCTCGGGGATGGGCTTCCTGCGTGTCGAGCACCGGTCACTTAGCCAGCTCGCAAAGAGCACTTGCGGCCACCATGTTTCCAGCTGGGCTTCAGGGTCATGCGGGCTCCGACACTGACCCCATGTCACTCGCCTGTCCCAGCGGCCCCACAGCAGAGATGTGGGGAGTTCGGTTTTGCTGATGAGGGAGCAGGAAGGACCCGCCGCAGGGTGGGTGTCACCCAGGGCGGTGCTGCTTGTCAGCCCAGGCTTTCCCAAGGACCCCTGGGCCTCCCCCGGCCCTCTAGATCGGAGTCACTGGGTGGAGTCTGGGGAACAGTATTTGACATGTCCTCCGGGGCTTTATTCCTGGAAATGTGAGGAGCGGGGTCTGGCCAGGTCCTTGGGTGAGGGTGCGGAGGCCCGGAGCAGGCCTGGGCCACAAGGCAGAGGTCAGACAGGACCCTGGGCTTCCTTCCTCCCAGTGGCCAAGAGGGCCATCCTAGACGGGACAGGCCTGCAGACTGCTCTCCCAAACTTTGTTGGTACCTTGAGGAAGAAACTGCTGGCCTCTGAGGGTCACAGGGCCCCTGTGTCTGTAGCGCCTCCTTCGGGGTGCTGGTGGAGTGGGAGCGGCCACACAGGTCATCACAGCAGCCAGGCACCTCCCTCCACATGTTTTCGGACTCAGGGACTCACCCCTCTCATTAAGTTCAGTGCAGCCAACCTCCATATGCACCTGCTCTGTCCTCACCTGGGCTGGCTCCAGGCCCCAGCACAGCAGCCACCTTGAGTAGCTCACGGCTTCTCACGTGCCACCAGCAGTCAGGTTTGGGAGGAGGTGGGCTGGGCTCCTGGGCCTCTCTCCCTCCAGGCCCCAACCTCCATCTCTTTCCCACACCTGCCACGTATAGCACCCCTCATGTGCACTTGCCCAGGGTCACCTGGCTCTGTGCCCTGCATCATAAACTCTTAAGCAGAAGGGCAGAAATAAGTCATTTATTTTGGGATATACAAACATCCCCAGTCTGCATGGGAGACTGGTTCCAGGATCCCCTCAGATACCAGAACCCACAGATGCTCAAGTCCCTCATATAAAATGCCATAGTATTTGCATGTAACCTACACATATCTTCCTGTTACTTTAATCACGTCTGGATTCCTTATAGTACCTGATACAATGTAAATGCTGTGTAAATTGTTTGTCTAGGGAACAGTGACAGTAAAAGTTCACATGTTCGGTACAGACACACTCATCATAGGCTCAACTACATAATACAGTCAGCAGCTAAGGAACTTTTATTTTCAAATGTTTTTGATCCGAGGCTAGGCCGGTCAGATCTGCAGGTGCAGGACCTGTGGATCTGGCAGGACGACTGTGTGAGCACAGTGAATAAATACCGCTGACCATGCAGCTCAGCCTTACTCCTGGAACGCCTGCCGTTGGTTCCGGGGGGACAGGTGAGGGCTGCTTTGCCCACCTGTTTGCATGGAGCCTCCTGGTCCTGCAGGGCTCTGGACCGTGGCCTGGCTTGACGCGGTCGTGGTGAGCTGTGAAGACGGCCCACCGGGCTCCTCTAGGGGGACCAGAGTGTGTGGGCTGCTGGTGTCCACACGTGTGGGCACGTGGATCCTCTCCAGGAGAAAGGCCTTGGTGCTTCCCCGGAAGTCCCAGCATGCGTGTGCGCGTGCCTGAGCTCCGCCTGGCGGCTCCTTTGCACGTCTACCTGCTGCCGGCCTCCAAGGTTTGCGGCCTTCTCTTTAGCCGAGCACCTGCCGTGGGCCAGGCTGCAGGTAGCAAGGTGAGGGCTGTGGGCCTGTCCTCCAGCAGCTCACAGCGCAGCCGAGGACACTCACCGTCACAGTGATTGGTGTGCAGTCGGCACATTGTATGTTCTGTCCCATCCGATGCCGGTACCTGCCTGGTGAGAGGATGTGGGGACTCATTCTGTTTTAGAAACTGAAAGGGGGAGAGGAACTTGCCCAGGGTCGCACAGTGAGGGTTGGGCAGAGCCCGGACCCACTGGTGCCAGGAAGACTAAGTCCCCACCTATGTTCTTGCCATGGCTGCGTGGCAGCCTCACGCCTCCTGTGGCCTGTCCCTGCAGCATCTTCCTCATTGACCATGCCTGGACGTGCCGCGTGGAGCACGCCCGCCAGCAGCTGCAGCAGGTGCCTGGGCTGCTACACCGCATGGCCAACCTGATGGGCGTCGAGTTCCACGGCGAGCTGCCCAGCCCTGAGGCCGTGGACCAGGTGCTGGAGGAGATGTGGAAGTTCAACCAGACCTACCAGCTGTCCCACGGGGTGAGTGGGCAGCCAGGCCCCAGGAGAGGCAGAGGGCAGACATGGACACAGGCCTTCACTGCCCCGTGCGGTCAGAGATATGGGGGTGTGGCCAGGAGAGCCCCTACCCAGCCCGGGGGCCTTTATCCCGCACGTGCGCCAACTCAGCTTCTCCCATGGCCCCTGGAATCCGTTGTTGCTGTGGCTTCATCGTGGGCCTGTTACTGTTTGCCTTGGACCAGCCAGCGACCCAGGTGTCTGTGCAGCCTTTAAACTCACAGGACAGAACCCTCAGACCCCTGGACTTGGGCTCAGTGACTCGGCCGCCCCTTTCCTGGTGCCTTCTGGTTCTGTCACCCTCTTAAAAGGCCTCAGTGGTCCTCTCGGCCTTTGGGAGAAGAGTCGAGTCCTGTTAACACATGTCCTCAGGCTTTCGTCACCCCCACCTCCGGCTTTCCCAGACTCACCCTTAGGCTCCAGCCCCTCACCACTTTTAGGTTGGGAAGAACAAAAGTTGTTTATTGTAATCTCAGCTTAGATGTTGCCTCCTCCGGGGAGCCTTCCCTGAACTACAAGTCTGTCCCCGCCCCACCCCCATTCTCCTCCAGCCCTCAACATACAAGACCCAACACATCCATGTAGCTACTAGGCGAAGCGCCTTGTCTCCATGAGCCTTTAGCACACAGGCGATCACCCTGTGGTCGGCTGTTCTGCGTCTTGGTCCCCAAGACAGGGCCACGGGCTGGGAGCCCTGGGCTGACGGACCCGGGCTTTGTGTGAGAGCTGCTCCAGGCTCAGAGAGTTGGGCACAGGCGGTGGGCGGGTGGAAGGGACAGGCGGTGGGCCCATGGACCAGGGCAGTGTGTGCTCTGCCCGCAGACGGCCGAGGAGAAGGTGCCGGTGTGGTACATCATGGACGAGTTCGGCTCCCGCATCCAGCACTCCGACGAACCCAGCTTTGCCACCGCACCCTTCTTCTACATGCCCCAGCAGGTGGCCTACACGCTGCTGTGGCCCCTGAGGGACCTGGACACAGGAGGTAAGTCAGATGCCCGCCCACCCCTGGAACGCCCCTGGGCCCCCGTCCGCGGCTGCCCCCTGACGGGCACGTGTGTCTTGGTGCAGAGGAGGTGACCCGGGACTTTGCCTATGGAGAGGCCGACCCTCTGATCCGGAAGTGCATGCTGCTGCCCTGGGCCCCCGCCGACATGCTGGACCTCAGCTCCTGCACGCCCGAGCCACCCGACCAGCACTACCAGGTGTGACCCTTGACCCTTCCCCTCCGACCCTGGGCCTCTTTGGTGGCTTTTGGAACCTTCTCCACCCGGCCACTGAGTTTGGGAGCATCTGAATGACAAGGGTCTCAGCTCGGGCATGAACATGAGCACCCGTGGCACACAGCTTGGGCGCCGGGCCTGAGGCCTGATCCCAGGGTGCCTGATGCTGCGAACCGTCGCTCAAAGGGCCGGGTGGAGCTGGGGTGCTGGCGGTCAGTGCTGCTCTGCCTCGTTTCCGTTTCCTTATCTGACACCTCCTTCCCAGGGACGGGAAGACACTGCACTCAAACAGTGTGGCACAGCATCCGGCGCACAGTAGGCCCTCAACAAGTAGTTGTCGTTACTGCTATTGTTGTGGACATCAGAGGTGCTTTCAGTCCGTGGGCAGCCTGTCCTTCAGGGCCCTGCCAGGACCCAGCTGGCCCCCTAACAAGTGCCTGGCTGGTGGTGACAATGCGGGGCCCGGTACGTGGGGTGGGCTGGGTTAGCGGCCCAGGGTTTGTGAGACCAGGGAGGTGGAGCCTGTAGAAGGGCAGGGCCATGGCTGACAGTCCAGCCCCTCTCCCTCCCATGCCGGCTGGTCTCCTGCCACTGCTTCCTGTTGGCCGGTCCCAGTCGGGAACCAGGCGATGAGGGAGTCTGTGCTTAGCACTCTGTGGGCACGAGACTCTACTGTAATTCTTGAAACAGTAGGAGTGACTGTCCTGTTTTCATCTTCCTTTTACTGAGGATGAGGAAACTGAGGCTCAGAGAGGTTAAGTAACTCCTTGCAACAGTAGGAGTGACTGTCCTATTTTCATCTTCCTTTTACCGAGGATGAGGAAACTGAGGCTCAGAGAGGTTAAGTAATTTGCCGAAGGTCACACAGCTGGTGGGTGAACTGGAGTCCAAAACCAGGCGGACTTGATCGCTTGTGAGCGGCGGCCACACACCTGCCCCCGCTGGCACATCAGCCACTCAGGGGATGCCCCCCGGGATTGAAGGAGAGAGGAAGCGAGTGTAGGAAGCACGGTGTGGTGTCAGCTGTTCTGTGGGTTGCAGGGGGCTGGGCTCAGTGGTCCCATGGCACCTTTCCCCTCAAATTCGATCTGAGCCCCCGCAGCCTGAACTAATCATGCTGAAAACTCAGCGATCACCCTTCTTGGTTCAGAGATGTGTTTCAGAGGCTCATGAGGTACCTGCGCCTAGTAGGTGCTCAGTAATCTTTTGAAAAAGTGAGTGAATGCGAAGAACTGAGGCTTCAGAGTGGCTTAGGGACAAAGACTTCCTGATCGCGAGGTTATTAAAGGAACATGAATTAAAATTCATCTTTTTCACTTTTTCTTGGGACACTCTACTGGCCAGAAAGAGGAGACAGGAAGCCACACACTGGTTGTCTGAGGCTTCCTGGTTGTTTGTCCCACATGACCCATCTGGATCAGGCCTCTGCTCAGGGTCCTGGGGTTGCCTGCGTTAGTTATCGTCGGATGACAAATTATTCCAGCTTAAAACAGCAGACATTTATTATCTCACATGCTTTCTGTGAGATGAGAGTTAGGGAGTGTCTCAGCTGGGTGCTTCTGGCTCGAAGTCCCTCGTAAGGCACAGTCAGGCTGTCAGCCAGGGCCACGTCATCTGAGGCTTGAGGGGGCTAAGGACCTGCTTCCACGTGGCGCCTCACACACATGGCGAGGTGATGCTAGCTGTTGGCAGGAGGCCTCAGTTCCTCCCCACGTGGGCTGTCCACAGAGCTGCTTGAGAGTCCTTACAGAGTGGTGGCCAGCCTCTCAGGGCAGGTGATCTGAGGTTTGATGGAGTCACACGTGGTTCCAGTTTCTTTGCGTTTGATAGAAGCAACTCGCTCAGCCCCCTCTCAAGGGGCGGTGAATTAGGCTCTTCCAAGGGCGTGTCAGCTGGTGGGCATGTTTTAAACTAGCACCTGGCGTAGCTCGGAGCAGACTGGGGGCTCCCCAAGGACCAGGCAGCCCCTTCCCCACCCCTGGGAGGTGGCTGTTGAGAATGTTTATGTTGTTCGCATGACATAAGACCGGCCGTCAAGTGCGTGAGCGGCCTGAGCCCTGGAACCCGGGGACGGGGCGGTCAGGGGCCTTGGGCACCTGTGAAGGCTGCCCCTGGGGTCTGGGCGTACCCCCAGAATCCTGAAACCCGCTGTCCCGGGGGCAGGGAGGAACGGGGGGAGGCATGTGTTCACTTGCTCCGTCTCTCTCCCTCCGGTGTCTTTCCTTCCAGGCCATTTTGGAGGAAAACAAAGAGAAGCTGCCACTCGCCATCGATCCAGTGGCTCGTCCCCGCGACCACATCTTCAAGTGCGTAGCCCCCTCCTCAGCTTGCGATGAGACAGACGTCCTCGCTCACTTTGCTCACTCAGTTCTGGCTCCCAGAACAGTGCCTGGCACAGGGAGGCGCTCAGTAGGTTCACTCTGTCCTGGCGGCATGAGGATGACAGATGCCAGGGTGGCGTTCTTAGCGTCACAGAAAAAATGCTGTGAAAAGCGAGCCGTGAGCAAGAGTGTGTGTTCATCGGGTCCTGGAATGAAGTCCCCTCCAGGCCTGTGCACACCGGGGCTTCTCCCGAAGGCTGGGCACCTGGGAAAGGCACCTCGGCTGCCAGGAGGGGCCGTGCCCGGGTGTCTGCAGGTGTGGGCCGGCCAGTTACATAAGGCCAGGCAGGCAAGCCCAGGCTGGCCTTCCACTGAAGCAGACACTCCATCTTACAGGCAAGGAAGTGGAGGTGCCAAGTTCAGCCGGAGGGCGTAGAGCAGGCTCAGAGGCCCGTGACTGGCTGGGCGGACGGGCCTCTGCCCCCAGTCGGAGCCCCTCCTCTCACTGCCCAAACCTGGTCCAGCCAGAAATGGCAGCATGCTCCGCTCTGCCCTCCCGCCACGTCCCAGGAGTTTCCTCCTGCTGGCCCTCTGCCCATGTTTCTTTCCCTTCCCCAAGGCCACTGCCCCGGCCCAAGCATCCTGGGAGCTCCTTCTGAGGCCCGCTGCCCAGCACCCCTCTACCTCCTCGGGGTCAGAGGCCTCGCTGAGGCCCGTTCCATCAGGCTGCATGCTCTGGCCCTGCCGAGCAACCTGGCCCCTTAGCTCTGTTCCTCCCCTGACACAGCACTGTCCCGGGCTGGGTCCCCTCTTGCCCCCATACTCAACCCCACAGCCTTTAAAGTGTGGCTGCCACCACCACCCCCAGCACAGGCCAGGCCAGGCGGGCACCAGCGATCCCCAGTGTGCAGACGCCTCGTCCAGGGCACTCTTGGCCACGTGCTCACCTGCAGCTCCTGGGGCTCCGGCTCTTTCCAAGGGTCAAACTCGGAGTGTGTGCGTGGGAGATCGGTAGTGTGGACCTGTCCTGTGGTTTCATTGGGGCGGGGGAGAGCTGCGTTTGTGGAACACTCAGTCTTATCCCGTGTCATCCTAACGATGCGTGTGGGCTCATCTTGCAGGTGGGGGACCGGGGTCTGAGTTGCCCCCCCACTCAGCAGACGAGCAGGTCCACGCAGGCTGTCTGACCGCAGCCCACCCCTCCCCGCAGGGTCTACACGGACGTGCAGCAGGTGCTCGACCACCTCACCCACCCGCGCTTCACCCTCACCCAGAGCGAGGCGGACGCCGACATCCTCTACAACTTCTCGCACTTCAAGGACTACAGGTGAGGCCCCACCCAGCCCGGCTGGCCCCGGAGCCCCTGGCGGCCCGCTGAGCCAGTCGCCCGCTCGGCCCTGCAGGAGGCTCAGCCAGCAGAGGCTAGCCCCTCAGGCCTGCCCTGTCAGTTCCTGGGGCCAGCATCAGAAGGCTACGGTGACCAGGGCTTTGGCTTCCATCGCACGCCGGGCAGGGGGCCCCGAGGGCCCGGCCTGGCTGCCCCGCACCTTCAATCTGCACACGGAGCTGCCCCAGTTTGTCAGCTACTTCCAGCAGCGGGAGAGGCGGTAAGGGTCCCCACCGCCATCACCGCGCCGTGCAGCCCGAGACCCCGTGTCTGCCAGGCTCCTACAGCCCCCACCCCACCTGCACCTGTCCTCACACTGCCAGCCTGTGCCTCAGCTAAGCACCTACTGTGTGCAAGCCGTGCTGCTGGGAGCCATGGGCACTGAGCACACAGCCACCCATGGCTGCCGTGGGTCCAGGCTCCAGCAGATGCCTCCTTAGTCCCCAAGCCTCGCCTCTAACCTCTCTGCTGCGACACCCCCCTCATCCTCCTGAGGGAGTCCGAGTGTCCCTCCGCTGCCACGGTCCCAAGGAGACATTGCCTGGGAGGGCGGGCCCAGGGTGCAGCCTAGCTGGCCCCTCTGCTCCCAGGGGCGAGGACAACCACTGGATCTGCAAGCCCTGGAACCTGGCCCGCAGCCTGGACACGCACATCACCAAGAGCCTGCACAGCGTCATCCGGCACCGCGAGAGCACCCCCAAGGTGGGCTTCCAGCCGTCGAGAAGGGGGCGAAGGGGACTCTGATGTCGAGGGCCTACGCGGGTGGGTCCTGGTGTCAGCGGTGAGTGGGTCCTGGTGTCACTCAGTTCACAGGAGTCTCTTAGGCCCGCGCTCCGCCCACAGCCCTGCCAGCAGCAAAGGGCTGTGTGACAGGACAGGCGAGAGGAGGGGCCTCGGTCACAGCCATCCGAGGGGACTCGCTCCCGCAGTCCCCGCCTGAGTCCCCACACTGCACCACGAGTGACCGCGGCAGCCAGGAGATGGCCAGGACAGGGCAGGGAGTTCCTCAGGGGCCCTGGACAAAGGTGCTGTCGTGATGTGGGGCGGTCAGAGGCAATGTCGGGCATCTGAGGACACGAGGTCACGTGCTAGGCAGAGGCTGTGGGGTGATCACTGCAGATTCCAGTAGTGGATAGGGAGCCGGTGTGTTTACGGCTGAGAATTCATATTCAGTGTCCAAAACCTAAAAACTGGTGGGAACTTGTCTTTCAGTTAGAGAAGATGAAGAACTCGTTCGAGCCTAGGCAGGGGTGTGAATGTGCAGAGGAAGAAGGAAATCTTGGGGCGTAGGTCCCTCCGCAGACACCAAGGCAAAAGGAGGCCCAACTCCTGGGCCCGGGGTGGGCGGGGACTGCGGGTGTGAGCCTGGTCCTCCAGGATGCGCAGACAGTGGCCGTCCCACTGCACGAGCCCACGGCCAGCAAAGTCGGGGCGCCCCTGGGTGCTCCAGCCGGGCCCAGGCGAGCTGAGAGCCGCCCGTGAGCCTACATCTGCCCCCCAGGTCGTGTCCAAGTACGTTGAGAGTCCCGTCTTGTTCCTTCGAGAAGACGTGGGGAGGGTCAAGTTCGACATCCGCTACATCGTGCTGCTGCGGTCGGTGAAGCCCCTGAGGTTGTTCGTGTACGACGTGTTCTGGCTGCGATTCTCCAACCGGTAACCCGGGAGACTGGGTGGGTGCGGTGAGGGGCCGGGGGCAGGGGATAGGCCCCTCTTGTTCGGGATGGGAAGTCTGCACTGGAGCGCCTTCACCACACACCCAGCAGAGACCGGCTCTGTTAGATGGCGCTAGTTCTTGCCACCACAGGGACTTGACGTTCCTCATAAAACGGACACCAACACCTGCGGGTCTTGATGGCATTTATGGGCCTACAGGGGGTCCTCACAGTTAGCCGTGAGGGGGCCATGGGGGAACTGGTGCCCATATGGGGTGCTCTGAGCACCCCTGCTTCTCAGATGCGGCCGCACTCGGGGCTCACCCGAGGCTCTGTCTGCTTGTCCTGCAGGCCCTTCTCACTCAACGACCTTGACGACTATGAGAAACATTTCACCGTCATGAACTACGATCCAGAAGTGGTGCTGAAGCAGGTAGGGGGCCTGGAACGACCTGGGGAGCGGGTTGACACAGACCCTGACCCCATACCCTTAAGCTTGTCTTCTGGGCAGGCAGTATAGACAGAGGAGCTGCCTCTGGCACCTGTGTTATGTCAAACAGCAATGTCTCCCTTGAGGCCCACAGCAGCCCCGCAAAAGTCAATTTGCTGAGCAGGGAGCATCGTCTCGTTATACAGACGGAGACACTGAGGCCCAAAGTAAATCTGTTTGTCTAGGGTCACTCAGCGAGATCCAGAGCTCAGACCCAGCCTCCTGCCTCCTATTCATGTCCTAAGGGTGTGGGCTGGACAGACTGCTGGCACTGACCTGTGGCCCCAGCGAGTGTCAGAGGCTCCATGTCATGGCGGAGCAGAGCGTGACGGATCCCGTCTTTGTCTCAGGTGCACTATGATGAGTTCATCCCTGAGTTTGAGAAGCAATACCCAGAATTCCCCTGGAAAAGCGTGCAGGTGAGTGCTGAGCGAAGCCCGAGGTGCCGGGGCTGGCATTGGCCGGGTGGGCTGTGCCTCCTCGGGATGGCCCCGCTCATCCCACCAAGGAACAGAATGGGTGACAGAGACATGGGGTGTCGTGGAGGGCTCCAAGGGGCATTCGGGGTGCCCTTGGGACAGCCAGACATCACAGGCCCTGCCTGTCCCAGGAATGCAAACCTGACAGCAGGGACTTGGCCGGAGACACAGGCTGGCCTCCACGTCCTGGAGTGGGCGTTTTGGAGGCTGCTCTGTGCACCTCGGTGCAGAGGAGGGCCGTGGGGGCTCCAAGGCAGGAGACATGGGCAAGTTTGCAGTGGGTGAACACCAGCAGTGGGGGGGCAGGTGTCAGGCAGAGGTGGGACCTGAAGGATTTAGTGGGAGCTGACTGGAGCCAGGTGGGGACCGGGGCTTGGGAAGGGGCAGCAAACCCCACACTGAGACACTGCTCTGGAGGGCAGGTCCCAACGTCAAAGCCATGCAGGCCCCGTGACCGTGCCTCCCCTGGTCCACAGGCTGAAATCTTCCAGGCCTTCACGGAGCTGTTCCAAGTGGCATGTGCCAAGCCACCGCCACTGGGCCTCTGCCACTATCCCTCATCCCGGGCCGTGTATGCCATCGACCTCATGCTGAAGTGGGACAGCCGTCCAGATGGTGAGGGGGGCTTTCCGTAATCCAACCCCCCCCAACTTACCCAAATCCGATTGTCCAGCCCTCCCCACACCAGCCCCCCCGGGGACAGAGAGGGCATCGCTGGTCAGTGCTGTCTGACTGGTGCTTTGCCTCCAGTTAGCCGGGAGATCTGGGCCCGGGGAGACTCACTGCTGAGGGGCGACAGCCCACATGGCAGAGTGACAACGGGAAGGGCGGGTGGACTGCAGTGGCTTCAGAGAGAACCCACAAGGAAGGGAAACTTGCGTAAAAGGCGGAGGGAGCGGGCAGCCCAGCCAGCCACCCTCGGCTCCAGATTCCCTGGCGGCCGAGCCCACCCCATGCCCAGCCTGCATCTCTGCTCCCTCTGCTGGACTAAACTGGAAGTCTGAGCTGTGTGTGGTGGCTCACGTGACTCCTGGGGCCAGAGACAGCTCCAGGCTTCCCTGGAGAGGAGCAGGCGTTGGGCCAGGTCCCCCAAGGAGCCGGGAGAACCCAGCCTCCCAAGAGTGAGCTTCCCGTGCTTTGTGCCATCAGGGAAGCGAGCGATGCAGCCACAGATCCTGGAGGTGAACTTCAATCCGGACTGTGAGCGAGCCTGCAGGTACCACCCGACCTTCTTCAACGACATCTTCAGCACCTTGTACCTGGACGAGCCCAGCGACTGCCACGTCACACGCCTCATCTAGGCATTCACTGGCCCTCTGCTTGTGCTTGCGGCAGAGTCCAGCCTCAGGTCTCTGAGCTGCTTCTGCCAAGTTCCCCTCCTTCCGCCATAGGTCAGGAGCAGGGTCACTCCTGGTGTCCCCAGGGCTGAGTGCCAGGCACCTCTGGTGCAGTGATGAGTCTCAGCTCAGCCCAGGGCTTTATTGCTGAGACTCTGAGTTCTGGGGAGCGCAACGAGGCGTCCTCAAAAACGGGGGTCCCCAGGGAGCCCACACGCTAACAGGGCCAGGCCGCTCTTCTCCAGAGAGTCTGCTCACGCACTGCGGCCCCTCGGAGCAGTCAGGGTCCCACGCCCCTCGCGGGACCCGTGCGACGGTCGTCCCCAGAACACCTTGGGGACGCTCCTTGCCAGGCCCCGTCTTCTCGCCCTGCCCCCCCAGCTCCGCCAGAACCCCCACCAGCAAACCCCCACCGCCCCTTGCTGCTGTTGCCTTTCCGTTTATCGGGGACCCACTCGTCCGAGGTTGGGTGATGCTTCAGCGAGGGGACTTGGACCAGCGCGGCAGCAGAGCACCAGGACGCCTTCGAAAGACAGTTCCAGCGAGGACTTCACGTCGGTCAGAGGCCACCTTCCGCCAGAGTCGAGTCTCATTGTCGAAGTTTTGTTACTCTTTCATGATGGGAGGAAAATATAAAATTCTCTTTCTTAACGTCGTTTCTGAAATTCGGAGTCGGATGCCAGCATGTTGTGTAGCCGCCGTGCTTCCGGGCCCAGGTCACGGGACGGGGCGGGTGACTCCTGGAGCTCTGCTGTGAGAGTGTTGAGGGCGGGCGTGCTTGTCGAAGTCAGAAGCCGAGAGCACTCCGTGCAGCGGCCGGGACCTGGTCAGCAGGGACCTGGTTGTGCCTCCCTCTCCGCCTGTGCGGGTGTGTCTGTCCATCCCCTGGTGACCAGAATGACAGCCCTTCCGTCCGGCAGTGGGCGGGACACCTCATCTCTGGTTTCCTCCCTGGGGGAGCTGTTGGCCTCCTGTCCCCTACTTCACTGGATTTGTCCCACAATAAAGTCAGCCTTCTGTACCTCGGCCTCCCTCTCTCTGGGGAGGCCTGGGACCACAGGCCTGCTTGTGTGTTAGCTGCTTTCCTTGATGGCCGTTGGAGGAAACCAAAATACCAGGATGTATATCGGAGAAACTGGAGAAGAAATGAGATGGTGTGTAGGCCTCCAAGACCCCGTCTCAGTCCGTTTGGGCTTCTGTACCAAAATGCCATAAACTGGGCAGCTTAAACAACAGTTTTCTTTCCCACAGTTCTGGAGGCTTGGGGTGTCCCGAGATCGAGGCAGATTTGGTGTCTGGTGAGGGCGACAGGGCCCTCTTTCTGGTTCACAGACAACTGTCTTCTACTGTGTCCTCACATGGTGAAGGGGCAATGGAATTCTCCGAGGGGGGCCTTATTTATTGAGGCACAAATCCCACTCATGAGGGCTCCACCCTAAGGTCCTGATAACCCCCTAAGGCCCCAGCTGATACCATCACACTGGGGTTAAGGTTTCATACAGATCTGGGGGGACGACTCAGACCAGACCGTAGCAGCTCCCTCCCCCGAAGTTTGATTCAGAGCAGGACACAGTGGGGACAGATGAGCCGGGCCCCATCTCAGGGTCACAAGCAACACCCAGGAGCTTCGGTCCTCGGGTGAGTCGGAATCGGCTGCAGCCGGAGCCTCGAGGCCTGCTTCCTCATCCCGTAGGTGAGATCCAGTGAGCTGATGCAGCAGAGGTGCATGGGCGCTGGTGGCCAGCACCGCGACAGCCCTTGGTGGTTTCAGACGTTGACACAGGAAGGCAGAGGCCCTCACACACCCAGGCGTCCAGACCACGCGCAACTTCCCACAAGCGCCCCCCAACTAGGGGCCATCTGGCCCCCTCAGGACGGTGCTCACACCAAGATTACTCATCCAGATTCCACAGGGATCGTCCGGCTCGCTCCCACTCTATTTGAAACCTGCTTGCCCAGGATCCTCTGGGTGGGCGTGGCACAGCCACTGGGAGCGGAGGACCCCATGATCCTTGGATTATAAACTGCTTTTTCTTAATTCTAGATGCTCTGGCACCTCCGTTCACCCCCAAGGAAGGCCACTCCGGCAGACTGGACCTCTAGCTCAGTGCAGTGCTGACGGCGCCTACCCTCCAAATCCGTCTTGCCCGTACTTGGCCTCCCCCAAGTCGCTCTCTCCATGTCAAGGTCCATCGGAGGCCGGTGTTTGTAAGTGCTGGACGCTGGAGGTTGGAGACTCCCAGTAGCGGTATTTATCGTGCCCGGTTTCCGCAGGGGATGCAGAAGAAATCCGAAAGGTAAAGCTCGAGACACTGACGGCGAAATTAGAAATGTCCTCAGCAATGACCTGTGGCCACACACCAGCGCCCACGCACCTCTGTGGCCACACACATGGCGGCTCCGTCACAGAGGCACGATCGCGGGGGGACCTCGGAGGTTGGAGACTACCAGTAGCGGTATTTATCATGCCCGGTTTCCACAGGGGATGCAGAAGGAATCCGAAAGGTAAAGCTCGAGACGCTGACGGCGAAATTAGAAACGTCCTCAGCAATGACCTGTGGCCACACACATGCGCCCAAGCATGGCAGCTCCGTCACAGAGGCACGATCGCGGGGGGACCTCGGCGCGGGAGAGGCAGGGCTTCCTTCCACCTGCCGAGCCCAGAGTGGCCGGTTTCAACGTGCACCGGCTCAGCAAGCCCCTCAGAGTCACTACCGACCACCGACCAGCCGAGCCCGCTGGGCTGTGTGCGCGAGTGGCCTCGTCTTGTGTCCTCTACGGCCATCCCAGGAAAGCGTCACGAGAAAGCCAGCAAACAAAACAGCAAAATGCCTTCTGCTCTCGCCCGTTTCTCCAGGCGTTTCTGTGGCCACGCGTGTTTTGTGTATGTAAGAAGTATGTGCGACATTGCTAGAGGTGAACAAAGCTACGGGTGTATGGAATGGACAAATACCGGTCCGCCCGAGCAATCAGAGCAGTTCCAGAAGTCTCACGTGCACAGTGAGTGCTCAGTAAGGCGTCTGGCAGGCACACGAGTACCCATGACGCTCCGACCATCTTGGAGAACTTTAGAAATAAAAGGATGGGCAAAAGAGCCCCCCATCTGACTCCCCTAGTCCGATGAGCCTCAGGAAAACCGTGCGGGGAGCTGGCTGAGGGCTCAGCTAAGTGCTCACGGCTTCGAAGCTGCTAGATTCCCACAGAACATGATCTGTTGGGGGTCAGATTCCAGCAGAGGCAAGTGAGGTGACAGCCCCTGAAAGTCGGCTGCCCCTGCTCTCAGAATAATGGAGTCAGCTGTCTGCCCATCTTCTCCCTGAGCTTTTCGTCACTTAGGGTCACGTCTGAACGTGCCCCCTGGGGGACAAAGGAGGCCAGGCGAGAGGAAGGAGGCAGCCAAACTCACGGCTGCTAAAACGACCGAGAGAGCTCTAAATACGAAAGTTTTGCCAATTCAGGTTGACTTATCCAATGACCAAAAACAAAACAAGCAACCAAAAGCCCAGCAGGTCGGACCAGCTGTGGGCCTAGGAGGTCGTGGTGCAGCGCGTGGCACAGGACGCGGGGCTCACGGCAGGAAAGGAGGGCGGCGTTCCAGCAGGAGCCACTCCAAACAGCCGCCTGGAGCGGTCACCTGTTTGAAGCCGGGAGTGACACCACCAAACCTGGGCCAGCCGGGGCCTGTGTGAGGCTGCTGTCTGTGGGGCTGGAGCACAGCCCTTCTTCCTGCCTCTGACACCCCCTCCTGCCAACGGGGTGTTTGTGGGGCTGCCCTGCGGAGGTGAGGCTGGCATGAGTCCTGACACGTAAGCGGCAGGTCAGCTGGTGTCTCCAGCTCTGTGCCTCGCCCCATTCTGGCCGAGGCCTTGGGCACAGGCACAGCCAGGCCCAGGCCACCTGTGGGCCCGAGAGCCTGGGCCGAACCTCGGGGAGGCGTGGGAAGCGGGCAGGCCCTCCTCCCTCGGCTGGAGCCCAAGGCCCCAGCCAGTGTGGGTTCTGGGTCAAACCTAGTCTGCTCCACCCCTGGGCAGGCCACCTCACCTCTCACAAGGTATTGGGAGGGTCCCCAGAGGTGCGGAAGCCTCGTCCGTATGACAACAGCCCAGATAGATACAGCGAAAAGATGAACTTCTCTCCCCCACCAAGACCAGGGTCCCACCCAAGACAAGGGCCACTGCCAGTTTAAAAACTTTATTCGGTTTATAAAATTCCATGTCCCGAGACTGCGCCCTGAACAGTGCAGAAAGTGTAGGACGCGGTTTCTGGGGTGGGAGCTCAGCCCAAAGACCTCCAAAGCTGCTGGCAACCCCCTGGGCTGCAGCCCAGAGAGACTCACAGGCCTGGCACCCAAGAACGTGTGAGGGCCACCACCACCAGCAACGCCTGCCTAGCAGCAGCCACAGTCCTCGGAGGATGAGGCACCTCATTCCTCAAACTTTCGGCCACCACGCCAACCACGGTTATCCCGCCAGACGCAATAGTTGAGCGTGGCCGCAAAGGCCAGCCAAGCCAGGTACGGGTAGAGCAAGCGGGCGGCCGGAGGACTCACTCGGTGCCAGGCTACGGCCGTGGCTGCTGCCACCCCACCTGTCAGCAGGAGGTCCACTAGGGCCTGTGGAGACATGAGGGAGGGAGGACAGGGAGGCCTGAGGCTCAGGTCCCCATGAGGGTGTGTGTCCCAGCTGCCCCTAAGTGACCCAGCCAAGCCCCTAGCACTGTGCCTCAGTTTCCCCATGTATAAAATGGGAACAGTCACCTTGACCTGACCCATGCCATGTGGGGGGTGTATGGTACCAGGTGCAATATGGGTTTTCCTACACAATGGCCCCTAAATCCAAGCCAGCAACTCCGTCTGCTTCAAACAGAGCCCTGCACTGGAGGAAAAGCAGCTGCGGGGGACACTGGTCCCCTAAGAGCTGCTGAGGAGATGCTGACCGTGAGTTGTATGCCACCCCTGCCCCTGCCTTTAGACCCTGACCCCATCTGGGATGTGATGCCCCATGTCCCCCGAGAGGGGCCCACCCCGCCATGGGCCACCTGCAGGCCACACTCACCAAACCCATCTGTCGCGTGCCAAAGAAGATGGGAGGGAATGCCCAGTTGAGAGCCAGCTGCCCGGCGTAGAGGCCCAGGGGGACCACTGCCTCCTCCGAGAAGCCCCCCAGCTCTTTCCAGACGATGTAAGAACCATACCTGAAACAGAGGTCACCTGTCAGGGCATCAGTGGGGAAGAGGCCAGGAGCCTGGCTCACCTCTGGGATGACACAGTGATGCTCAGGTGTCACTGCTGTGTGACCTCAGGGAAGTTGCTTGACCTCTCTGGGTCTTCCTGTCTCACAGGGTTGCTGTGGGGATTCAAGTTAACACACTGGCTGAGCTACGAGACGTGCAGAACTATCGCCCTCATGTTACAGGTGAGGAAACTGAGGCACAGAGAGGTGGCGACTGCCTACGATCTCTTGCCAGGCAGTTGGCAGGTCAAGTCAGGTTTTAACGCAGGTGGCCAGGGCCAGAGCCCGGGCTCTTCACTCTGACGTGAGACCCCGTCAAGGCCACAGGGAGCCTGCACAGGGCTCCGGGAAACAAGCTGGGGCCATGTTTGTTTCATCGGGCTCTGGGTGCTGGAGGACGGCCAAGGGGGGATGCAGAGGCCTGCGGGCTGAAGCAGAAACGAGGCGTCTGGGCCAGGAGAGGGGAGGACTCAGCAGTGCTGGAAGCCTAACTGGGCAGGGGCTGGGGTCCAGGTGACACCCAGCTTCAGGAATTGTCTGACTCCTGTCAGAACCCTAGAGCACCTGGTCTGGCCTCTGCTACCTGCCCCTTGCAGCCCCACCCTGCATGAGGCTGGAATAGAACCAGGATGCAGGGAACATTCCAGAAGGAGGGGAGGAAGCTGACCTTACCTCCTGGGTGCGGTTCCCACTGGCACCACCAGGGGGCGCCCCCTGCAAGCAGCACTTCCTTTCACCATGGCGGTTCCCAGGGTCTAGTCCAGGGATTCCTGCACGGTTCCTACTCTCTGGCCCCGCGTCCTTGGGCAGTTTGTCAAAAGGGGGGGCCGTGAAAATTACCCGAGACAGCCTGGCACTGAGTGGGTTCTCAACAAACGGCAGCTATTATTGCTGTTGTTGCTGCTGTGGATCTTGAAAGCATCCACGCTGCCCGTCTGAACTTTGCACACTGAGCCAGTCTCAGCCTGGAGTTGTGAAAACAGCCAGGGTGCCAGCGCGGGGTTGAGCCACCCGGCCCGCCCCGCCCCTCCCAGGGGGCCCGGAGGGGAAAGGTCGGTGGTGCAACCAACAGGTCCCACAGCCTTCTCCACTGTCGCTTAGCAAACAAGGCCCAGAAATGATGCCAGCTGCCCAAGGGGCGCTGGACAGTTAAACCCTGCAGAAGCTCTGCCTCAGGCCTGGGCCCCTGTAAGGGGGAAGAATGGCCCAGCTCCGTCCGCTCAAGCGGGGGGCACGGGCCCAGCTGCGAGGCCAGCGCCCAAACCCACCTACCCCATGGCAGAGTAGAGCGTGCCCCAGATGGGGCCCAGCGTCCAGCGGGGCGGGTGCCACGAGGGCTTCTGCAGGCTGGCATACCAGCGGAGGCCCTCTCCACGGACGTAGTAGGAGCCCAGGAAGGCCCCCAGGCTGGGCGCCAGCGTGAAGCCCACCGCGGGCAGCCAGGGTGGCGCCATCGCTGCTGTGGCTGCTGTTCCGGGAAGCTCTGGAAGAGAAGATGGATGGAGTGAGATGCCGGGCTCTCCAGGGCTGGGCCGAGGCCTCACGGGGCATCTTCCAAGGACCTACTGTGCACAGACCCGGGGTGGGGCCTACCGTCTCCTTCAGAGTCACCACAAGTCTTGGGGTGGATCCACTACCAGCCCCTCATCACTCATCGGTCAATCAATCGACTGACCGAAAGATCGGGGGGTGCAGAAGACGAGCGAGGCAGGGAGGGGTGGGCCCACAGCGGCGGCCCCCCGCCGTCACAGCTCCAAGCTTCAGGGGACACATTTCCATCCAAACTCCGGCCCTCACCCAGACGGCTGCCCTGCCTGCAGGAGCCTCTCAGGTGCCCTGCCCCGACTCCGGCTCCCCTTCAGCTCCTGCCAGAGTCCTGAGCTCTCACCCTCACCCTTGGCCTTGGGTGTCCTGGCAAGAGACCCCTCCTCTCTGCCACCTCACTCCATGCCAGTTTGGGTCCCCCCACCAGGCAGGCTTCCCAGCCGTCCTCCCGAGGCCAGGTGCCAGCGGGGCGCTCTGCACGCGCGCGTGACTCCACACCCTGTGCTTTGTGTCCTGGTGCTTTTCTTTGAGTCATCCACTTGTCATTCATTCATTTATTAGACAACTGGCAGCAGACAGAGCTGGGCTCAATTCCTGGCTCCCCAAGGACTCCCTGTGACCTCAGGCAAATGACTTCTACTCTCCAGACCAGCCTCAGTTTCCCCCTCTGTAGAATGGGATATCAACATCGCCTACCTGGACCCAGCCCAGTGTGGAGTGTCTTGCACATAGTTGTTTCGGTGCCGCCCCATGAGCCCACCCAAAAATCACCTTCCCTTCCCCTGTGTGCCAGAGAGAAGCAGACTGCCTGGGACCACACAGCGCTGTGAGGCCAGGCTCTGCCTGCTGCTACCCTGACACCCAGGGCCACTGACGTAGGTGAAGTCAGATGATCCTCCCAGCAGCACTGAGAGGCTGGCAGGGCTTGGGGCAAGGAAGGCCCCTGACTAGGCCTGGAAGCTGCCACCCCAGGGCTGGGGACCCAGGCATCGAGCTTCTCCATTACGCTCATCAGCTGTGCCCCCTTGCCTAGCAGCCTCGAGGTCTGCACTGAGGGCCTCCTAGGTACCCAGCAGCGGCCGGCTGAGTTGCTCATTGGAGATCAGAGTCCAGACAGACAACAGGGAGGCCCAGGCTGGACATCTGGGGCCAGCTCTGCGGAACCTGCTGTGGGACCCTAAGCGTGTCGGCACCCTGACTGGGCTTCTGCTTCCCCATCATAAATTGAGAGGACCGAGCTCCCACTGACACACTCCAATCCTGGTTGGAGAATCTGGGGTGTGTCTGTTTTCTTGGGAT